GTCGCTTTAGCACGGGCTTTTTGAAATTTAACTTTCTGCTAGTCGCGCAAAAATATAATGAAGAAAATCAAACAAAAAAAATAAATTGGCAAAATATTTGGCTAGTTTCAAATCATAAAACAACCATATTGACTGTTTTGTGATTTGAAACTAGTCAAATATTTTGCCAATTTATTTTTTTTTGTTTGATTTTCTTCATTATATTTTTGCATTAATTTCAAACTTGAAATAAAATGCAATTTATTTTATTTATTTTTTTTATTACAGTAAATTAACGCCGCATCATATAATTTGTCTATTTAAACATGGAAATAGGTTTTCTGTAACAAACTCGACATATGTAAGTGCTCAAGACCAATATAACAGTTTTGCAACTTGGAGTGGCAATAAGTTTGAAAAAACTGAAGCATCATCCTTTTGGTGTCTTACAATCAAGGCGAATTTTAGGGTGGATAAAATTTGCCATATGCTTATTGAGTCGACTAGTTAAGTTGAGGAACATTTCTTCATCCGATATTGTTTTATTGATTTATTTGTACAGCACCTGTAGTTATCAAATTCTTATTCATCATCTGAGCACTGTGATAAATAAATTTAACTTTCTAGCTTAAATTAAACTTACACACGTTTGGACCTTTGAAGATTTTGGGGTATTTTCTTGTTTGATGTCAATGGCATTGAATCAAATTTTGATATTGATGGCTAAGGCTCAAATATTTCATCGATCTACAGGGTATTTTGAAGGGCCAACATTTTCTTTATAACAATGATCATTTAAAAACTGAAAACAAAAAGAAATTGGTAAAAATTTACTATAGTGGCGTGACTCAGAATTTGATGAAATTTTTTTTCCTAGACTAATTTGGGTATGCTAATCAAGAATTTAAAAAAAAATTCACCGGAAATGAAAACTGAAAAAGTTATAACGTTTTGAAATTTTAATTTTTTTTTCTTCCCGTATTATGTTATTATAAAAATGTTTATGCGATTATATGAACTAAAACAGATACACTGATCTGTGTCATTGTGCCGGGGAGCGATTGTTCTTAATAGCAGGCTGTGATTCATCGAATCGTGTTTTGTTTATTTCTGTAATATTCTTGTGTCATGTTAAATTTGACGTTTTCTGTTTCTCATTTAATCATGACTGGTTATATCAATCTTGACACGATTTTTAATTGGAGGAATTGTTCCGAGATTGTTGAGAAGATGCAGTACTTTGGAGTAATTCCTAAAGACCGTGAGATCAAGTGCTCTCAATCATTCTGCAACGGAAAATTTAATGTTATGAATGACAGCACGGCGTCCGACGGAGTTCGTTGGAGCTGCGATGGCACTGTTCGTTATCCAAAAACCAAGGCAGTGAAATGCAAAAAGAGGTACCTCATTTTATTATATTTACAATATTTAATCATTTATATATTAACCTTTGCCTTCTGTATTTTCCATTCGTTACAACACGTTCTTTCACAAATCCAATTTACCTTTATGGAAAATTGCTGCATTTTGTCACCTTTGTAAGTATTTTTATTGATATGATTAGATTATATTATATTAGATTAGGTTAGGTTAATAATGCTCAAATAATTCAAAAATTTTTAGTGTTGAAATTGACGAATCAAAGTTTGGAAAACGGAAGTACCATCGCGGTCATCATGTGGACGGGGCTTGGGTATTCGGAGGATATGAAAGAGGATCCGGGAAAGTCTTCATGATTGTTGTTGAAGATCGGACTGCTGAAACTTTGTTGGACTGCATTGAGCATTTCATTGAGCCTGGCACTACCATCTACTCCGACTGTTGAAAAGGCTATTCGGGATTGAAAGACCACCCTAATTTTGACAATCTACAGGTGAACCATTCCCTTCATTTCAAGGATCCTGAGACTGGAGTCCACACCAACCACATTGAATCGTCATATGGCGGCATGCTAAGGCATGCGGGCCATATGCCAACAGACAAAAAGGATTTTTGGGAGGATACCTTGCTCGCTACATGTTCCTTAAATTCGTCAATGCGGTTCAACAGGATCCACTTGTTATTTTTTTTATGTTCGCTCGTGATCTTTATGATCTAGTGGCATTGAATGATGTACCTACATTGGAGAGAGAATGGGATGATGCGGACGAAGATGAAGATGATGATAACATCGACGACGAATTCAATTAAATTGTTTTTTTTTTACTTGTACTCTCATTATATTAACTTTTTCACAAAACTGTATAATAAAATTAATTCAAATTTTTTTTCAAAATTTTAAAAAAAAAATATTTGAAATTTTATTTCCGAAGAAAATTTTTTTCTGATTCATGTTCAGGAAGTCATAATTAGTCTAGAAAAAAAAATTCATCAAATTCTGAGTCACGCCGCTATAGTAAAATTTTTCCTATGCCAGTACAAGATGCATTTTTCTTAAGACACTTATTACAAATTGTATGTTTATCCTTAATATGACGACCGTATATTTAATACGTGGTATAAATTGCATCACTACCAATATCTGGGAGTGCTTCATTGTTCGTTGCTGAAATCCATGTTCCCATCTCTTGAAAACATGCTTAAAATTGGAAGGTGTTGAAAAATAAATCTAGATGAATCAAAATTCAATACACCTTCAAATGCGACAGCCATTTTAATTTTTCCAAGCATGAAGTTTTGTTGACAAGCTGACACGACATTTCAATACGAGCGCCATCCCGTTAATTGGAGTGGTAATAAATTACCGTTCTCATGTTTTTCCATTTGAGTTACCAGCCCCTGCTCATGGAGAAACGATTATTACTCACGTTCAGGCCTCGCAACGTAATCGAGACAGGTGTAACAAAAAATCTGATGTGTCCAACACATGACTTTCCTATCTAGTTATTATAGGCATTTTCCGGTTATTTTGTACAACCTATTGCAGCATCTCTATAAATGTTTAGAGGATAAACTAAATATATACATTTTACACATACATTTACCTCGAAACATTTTTCTATAGATATTCATTGAAAACGAAAATACTGAAAAATTTAAATTTATCACTTTTCCATTACGGTCCATTTTAGAAAAATCATGTATAAACAAAAATTATAGAAATCGATATCGCAAACAACTTTTAGTTCAACAATTTTCATAAAAATCAGAATTTTGCACATTTTGTCAAATTTCTCGAATACGGACCATTTCAGGAAATTTTGACATAAAGCAAAAATTATAAATAATAATATTAGAAGTAACTTTTATTTGAACAATTTTCTTCTCCAAACATAAATAACAGATATATTCCATAAAATATAAAAACGGCCTCCCATAAAGTACCCCCCCCCCCCCAGATGTACCGACTTTGTCCAAAATCTAATCATTTCACGTCAGGCCGAAATAAACCTTAAGTTTAAAATTTATTGTTTTTTTCCTTTATCCGTTTTTGAGTTTTCTTCAAATTTCGAAATTTACACATTTTCTCAAATATCTCGAATACGGTCCATTTTAGAGAAATTATGTATAGGACAAAAATTATAGATAATTATATTACAAACAACTTTTATTTGAACAATTTTTATAAAAAATATTTTTTTTACATTTTGTCAAATTTCTCGAATACGGACCATTTTAGGAAAATTTTGTATGGAACAAAAATTATAGATAATTATATTAGAAGTAACTTTTATTTGAAAAATTTTTTTCTCCAAACGTAAATAACAGATATATTCTATAAAATATAAAAATGACCGCCAATAAAGTACCCCCCCAGATGTTCCGACTCTACCCAAAATCTAATCAGCTTATTGGACGCTGAAACAAAGCTTAAGTTTAAAATTTGGTGTTTTTATGTGTATCGGTTCATGAGTTATGCGTTATACAGACACACACACACACACAGACAGACACACACACACACACACACACACACACACACACACACACACACACACACACACACACACACACACACACACACACACACACACACACACACACACACACACACACACACACACACACACACACACACACACACACACACACACACACACACACACACACACACACACACAGACATCATCGCGAAAATAGTCAAAACGGATTCAGGGGACCTCAAAACGTAAAAATCCGTCGAAAACTCGAGGTCGAAAAAAATCATGATTCCTATACTTTCCTTATATCTGTATACAGATAGGAAAGTAAAAAGCTATAAAAAATTACAAAAAATGAGCCGGGACCGGGCTGGTGCCGCTACAAATATCCGCTAAGCTAGCGGATTCTTGCTTTTCTCAGGTTCAGTACAAGCTACAAAAGGGACACTAGCGTAACAAAAAAGCTACGAAAAACCAGCTGGGTCTGAATCTGTGCCGCTACTATGGAATTTATGGAAATTCAAGCTAGCGGATCCGCTGTTCTTTCGGACCTGGGCAAAGCTACAAATTTGCAAATAGTGTAACAAAAAAGTTACAAAAAAACCCGCCAGGTCATGAATGGTGCCGCCACAGAGTGCCCGCTAGCTTGATATAGCTAATATTTTTATGTAGTTCACAGAATTGACAACAATTGTTAGCTTTTTGTCCTCAATAATAAAAGGGTATAGTAATGACAAATGCGAAAAAAAGAAAAATAACATACTTTCTTGAATCGATTCTGAATCAGTTTTATTTCGTAATGTTTTGGTTACGAGCTTTAAACTCGCAGATTATTATTTCAAAGTTTGAAAACTTTTGTAATGAATGTAAAATTTTCAAAATAGGATGTATTTATTGACTGGCCTATAAATACTACGTTAAGCAAACAATTAATTTATTACAGTAGCAAACCTATCGCCCATCTCTCAACCTACTTGTTGTTCACTTGCAGTTTTTTATTTTTTTTATTGTTTTACTTCGCCAATTATTGATCAAAAATACTATAATATTAATGGATAACTGGTCAATGAACAAGGTCAAAATATGACAAATTTATAAACAACATTAAAGCGAAATATGATAATTGCAAACATTAATAATTACTTAGTATTGAAATTCCAATGGGAATCACCACTGCTACTGACACTGGGGTCATTCTTGTTTATAGTTCTCACGTTGTCTAGTTTATTTCAATCGTTCATTCAATCATGTATAGTGTTACAACAATTGTGTTATTTTTTGTATTAGTAAATTCAATAAGTGGTAAATCACGAGGTAATTATTTTTTATATTGCGATTCAATAATGTTAAGTGAGTGTCAAAAATAAAGAATTCATGAGTTCAAAGAAGAAAGGAGTGAAGGAGAAATGTACCTAAATAACAGAATTTTCTCGGAACCAGAATTTTCAGATCCAGCTTTCCTCTCACGACCTCTTGAATTTTTTGAAACCTGTAAACGAAATAATAGTTATTTTTTGGAAGTAAACTAATTTGTATGATTTTAAGGGTTTACCTGAAAATTGGCGCGAACAAAATGCGTGTGAAAACATCGACCTGGGTGTCTATTCTTGAAATTGGGGAGTAAGAAATATTGAGAGAAAATTCTCACTTTCTACTCCCTTGTAAAAATTCGTATTCTTGAAATCGAATTCACCAAAATTGGTGAAGAATTTTCTCTCAAAATTTTCTCCTACTTTTAGGTAGAGAGAATGAAAATAATGAGAGAATTCAATTCACGCAAGCATGCGCAGTGCGTGTCAGAATTTAAATAAATAAAAATATTACTATAACCTCATTTATGTTGTTAGTAGTTTTCAGGTATATTTATACCTTTGTGGTATTTACTTTCCCTTTAAAATGGATTTAGACGCGAAAATAATAAGAATAATTTTTATTCAATACAGATAAATTTTAGACAAAATGAAAAAAATGGTTTAATTATAAAGAGTAGTAGTGTAAAATTATCTCCTTACACTATAGGTGTAATACTCCCCTTTTCCAACAGTAATAACTCCCTCACATCTTTTAAATTTGTTTGGACTTTGACTCATGTTTTTAAAATGATTAATTATTTAGGAAAGTAATACCACAGCTTATACAATACAGCTAAAACACTCTCTTGGCGGCAACGGTTTGCGTCGATTACGTCGCGCATCGCTTAAGCTCCGCCTTCGAAGGGAAAAGACGGTTTTGGCGTTCAGAAGCGTACTTAGGCAAGGTGTTGAGTCGTGCGTATAATTTCGTTGATTGTATAATTTCGTGGAGCCTATAATTTCGTTGATTTTGTTTGAGTTAAAGGTACTGTTATTATTTTGGTGACTCTTTAGCTGTGAGTAGAATGAGTTTGTGCAGTCAAAAGCTGTTTTAATAAGGGTTATACCTGCAAGAAAACATTCTTTAGTTTTCCCAAGGACCCAAACCGATAAGTACTACATTATAAGAAATTTTCATTGTTAAAAATATAATTTATACAGGGTGTCTCATTAGTGCGTTATTGTTCATTATTTTGTTGTAGACACGCAAGAAAGTTTTAAATAAAAGTTATATGGATTTGAAAAATACCTACATATTTTAAAAATATCTTTGGATATACAGGGTGTCACGTTTTTGCCTGGAAAATTAAAATGTATGTTTTTTAAATGGAACACCTTGTATTTTATTTTATTTTATGATGAAATTATTAACACCCTAAATTATTGTAAAGACGAATTGCTACAGAAAAATTTTATCAGGTATGTGTGTGGTTACCTTTTAATAAAAGTCTTGCGGATCCACTCCTGCGATACCTGTCTTAAATATAACAAAGATCACGTTGAATTAGACGATTTTTCTTTTTATTGCTTTTAAAAGGCATATGATAACGCCAATTCAGATACATTTGGAAATCTGCAACTGTCAAATGATGAATTTGTAGAACTAATATTCAATATTGAAAAGATATTTTAAAATAATTTTGAAGAATTGGCTACAAAAAATAACATTTGTACCACACTTTTAGAATTAATTAACCCAATACCCTTTAGTCATCCATGCTAACGTTTTCCAAAAGAATAACTTATTTTATTGTATGTTTAATCTCAATAACTAAAAAATATACTGACAATTAGTTTGACAGAATTGTCATTTATTTAAAATTTTAAAAATAATAGCAGTCGGTTGATCAAAATATGAACGGTCATTGGCGAATTTATTTTTTTTTTGCAGTGTTCTCACTACCTAGAATGGATATGAAATATATTCGTTCAATTGAAGGCAATAGCATACTTTTTCGTTTTGTAATCTGTGCATGGATATTAGCCAATCTACGCACATACTACAAAACGATAAATTATGTTATTGCGTTCAACTACGAATATATTTCATATCCATTTTAGGTAGTGAGAACACTTTAACAAAATTAAATCTACAAATCACAGTTCATATTTTGGTCACCCAACTCCTATTATTTAAAAATTTTTAAATAAGTGATAATTCTGTTAAACTAATTGTCAATATATATTTTAGTTATTGATATTAAATATACATTAAAATTTTTGTGTAGACTCGATAAATAATAGCATTTTTGTTTTTATTATGTCCACATTTAAAAAAAAATAAATTTTAATCAAACTACATGATACTAATTTAATTACGAGTATTAAAACTAAAGTCCTGAAAGTTTCGGTGAAGATGAGGACAGAACATCTGCCTTCCATGCGAAAAGCCCGGGATCGAATCTAGGCCGAGGACTAATTAATTTTTCATGTTTATTTTATTTTATAAATTAGTCAACTTCGTAAATTATTTTAAAATTAGTTATTTTGTCTAAATAACCTAAAATAATTTTTTAAATTGGTAGATTTTCGTTAGTGGGTCGTAGAAAAAATATACTGACCATTCGAGTGGATTGTTCATATCACAATCAGACGATTGAGTACTCCGCCTACGACGTCGTGCTCAAACTTCGTCTTTGTGTGATATGGCTATCATATCCACCCTTGTTGAACAAACTACAATTTATTTGTTTTCTTGGTTTAAGTTTTACATTAGAAATAAGAACTAAATTAATTTACTTTTCAAGTTTTCTTGTAAAAATCGATATTACTTTCTCCAAGTACAAATTTAGTACCTACCTAAAATAAGTACCAATTATGTAATATCGTGTAATATTGTAATTCAAATTTCACATTACTATAAAGTTTCAAAATTCCCTACTTCGGTATGGTCAGATAAAAATTGAATATATTATATTAATAAAAACTGTTAAAGTATTACTTCTACAAATCTGTATTTCAATTAATAAGAATACATCTAAATATAACCAATATTGTTAAAATAAAAGCACAAATTCTTTATAATTCCAAAATACCATAGAGTTCCCAGACCTCAGTCGAAGCATTCGTTTATCTAGGTATAAACCCTTTGCGCGAAGAGTAACACTTGCCAGAGACACGGGGTACCACTTGATTTGCATCCACGAGCTTTAACAATTGAAGCCCTTGGTGTAAAAAGGATCCAAGTCACAATTTGTCGTGAAGTGACTGTTTTAGCTCAAAACATTTGTTAACGAGGATTTTACTAGCCACATACAAATTATTTTACCTCTAATCCGAAAGATGTGCTATTTTTCGTAATATTTATATTTAAATAATTTTTTTAATTATATTTGACAGATTTAAAACAAATTAAAAATTTAATTTCCCAAAACTTACTTAACATGGCATGTAACCAACCTTATTACGTCAAGGTTTTCAATTTTTTCAATAATAAAAAAATTGCTTAATCCGGGCCCGACTTTTCCCTTTAATCTAACAGAGATAGCACCATTCCGTCTTGCTTGGTTCTCGACCGCCAGATCAAAGACGCCGACACGGAGTTGTGGAGCTGTATTGTATAAGCTGTGGTAATACCTTCTACAATCGTAGAGTTTTAAACACATTTAGAAGGATATTCAAACTTGAATTATTGCCAAGAGATTTGAATTTCTAGTTTGATAATTATTTAAAACGACAGTTAATATTATTTTTAATGAACAATATCAATTTAAAATGTTTATACGTGAAAAAGTCAAAATTCCGTTGTCGATAAAAACAAATCATAAAAACTTAAAATCTTAAGCCATATTCGAGCGGTCGACTAGTTTAAATATATTTCATGCTATTTGAAAACGGTTTGAACTATACCCATTCGAGTGACCAAACAATGACGTCACGTTAATTAGGTTTAAACCACCTGCATCTGTTTTTGAAACGTTTCATAAGAACGGTTTGAGGAAATAAAAATGTCATTAATGTCAAAAATAATAACAAACATCAAAGAGGATAGCAAAGACAATAAAATTCATGATAAAAAAAATTATGTATAATATGGCCATAAGAAAATACAGAAAATGCATAATTATGAAGGTTTATAATTTTAAGAAATGTTTGAAAACTTAACCTTGTAATTCTAAATAGTCAGATTCTACATATAACGATCTATTTTCCATAAATTTGATAATATTACATGAGCAAAGTATGTGCATGAGGTTCTCTTTGATATATGAGGCATAAATTATTTGTTGCTAGAGATTTACAAACTCACAAATCGTTAACTTAACAGTGACTTCACTGTTTAAAAATCAATTATTTGAGCGCTTTCAAAATATATGACGTAGTATTAAAACTGGTTCTAAAAGTTGTTGAAAATATTTTTAAACTAAAGAGACCGCTCGAATATAATATTAAAATGCCAGCAGTGTCACTTGCTGTCAAAAGTTCGTAGTTTCTAATTGGTCGGATGATCTAAAACGATCTGGCAACTCTGTATTTATTTTCACCATCTACTTTCTCCTCCCTTGGCTTTCACGTTATTTTAAGAATTCCAATTTTTTGGGAAAGTGAAAATAAAGTGAATATATTCCCCGGGGAGTTTTAATTTCTCTCGTTTTCAAGCATACGCACCCAGGGGGTAGTATTCTCGAGTCACGAACATAGATTCGCATGCGAGATTTATGATTTGTCTCACTTGGTTTTCGTTCAACAAAGTGAGACACATTGTAAAACACGTATGCGAATGTCGGTATTCGTGATTCGAGAATACTATCCCTGGCCGATCTAATTCGTTTAAAACGAAAATGATTTTGTGGGCTCTCAAATTAGTTGAGAATAGTTGAAAGTATCAGCTAAGTGGTGAAACAATTTATATTCCGAAAATCAACCAAAAAAGTACTCAAATTAATTATTAAAAATATAATAAATTTATCTCACTGATTTATTGCAATCTAATTTAAATGATCTTAATTAATTTTTAAATTCAACTGTGTCATGACCTGTAACATATTTGTAGTATATTCTGTACAGCTGTTGATGATAATGGATATGTAATTAATAATTACATGAGTTTGATTTTGTATTAAAATAATCCGATTTAATAAAAGCACAGAAGAAAGAACAATACAGAAAAGAAAGTAATGGTCGGAACTTTGAAGTTGAAGGAATAGAAATATTTGACCTTGAGTTCTACAACAGAGATACTCTGAGAAAACGTAATTATTCATAGTACACGCGAACGTAGCTATTCACTGAACCTACACTGCGAAAACTACATTTCTCTTTTACATAATTATGTGTCATATTTTATGAAAATTTGCATGAATGCATTTGAAACTATTCTCGATTTAAGTAAATTATCTTTTGATTTGTAACACTTCCGACAGAGGTTTCAAAAATAAAAATTTTAAAGTTTTAAACAATAGTTTTTTTTACCCTGTCATAATGAACTATTAAAATTGTGCCACAAAACTCACTAGTCATTTATGATCAATAAATATAAATCAATTGGGATAATTGTTAAAAAAATCATTAGCTAAAGCGTATTTTAGGGATTTTATGAATAAAAAAAAGGAAAATATAAAAACGTGTATATAAGCAAATGATAAGTTTACAATCTAGTGCACGTATTTTATTAAAATAGAATTGTTTGAAAATTAAAATAATTAAAATTGTTTACACAGATGTATAGAGCAAGCCTAATTTATAATACATAGATAAGTAGCTTTATTAAAATAGCTTTATCCTAATATACAACAAAAATAAAGAATAATTATATAAACGGTACTTATAAAAAATATTAAATAATGAGTAATTATTTTACTTCTTTTTGCAACAAACAAACGTTTTCTCAACGTTGCCGTTTCTATCTTCAGTCGCAGTCTCTGCTTTCTTGGAGTGTTTGATGATAACACATTACTCGTTTGAATTTGTGCTATTACACAAGGTAGAGAAACAGATGGTTGACTATGAACTTGTTCAATAAATTCTACTTCTGCTGAAGTTGAGGGTAGACACAAGTTGTCTTTGCCTTCTGCGCCATGAACAACAAATTCCTCTGAAAAAGAAAGAGAAACCAAATTTTTATCAGATCAACTGGTGTCAAGAAGGTGCATCATTTGTCAGAATTAAATGTTTGAGTCACACTTTTTAGCTAGATGAAATTTAAAATAATTTTATAAAATGTGAATATATTTCTGTGCCTAGGAGGTAAACTGCACTGTCATTCTAGTCAACTTTTTAGTACAGCAGATTGAATGTTGTTAAATTATTAAATTTCAACTAGATATGCATTTAAACACCCATTTATTGTCAGAATATTTATATTTTCTACTAATCTAACTACTAAAACAACTTTATTTTAATTTGCATAACTTGTTGTATGTCGACATAGTGCAGTTTACCTCCGAGGTAGTTCTACAAAATGGAATGTATGCGTTGATATTCTAAGATTATAAGTACTTATCATTTTATTTTTTAAACTACTAAAAGTAATGTAAAAAAATGACAAGACTTTTTGTAACATTTAACTATACATTATATTTATTTACCTTGCAAAACTGTGACTCTTTTCGTAGGTTCTAAATGGGGAAATACTGTTGGGAATACATTTGCAAATAATCGTTTTCTTGTTCCTGACTGATAAACGAATTTATCCTGGAAGTGTAGTTCACAAATTTTGTAATTTTTAAATGACAAACGACAAAAAAATGTTATTGTGGGACACATTTATATTGAATAGATATCATTTTAATTTTTAAAAATTTAAAAATTTTAGATACACCTAAAATATGCGCTGATGTTATATCAAGAGAACGATGGGGTGGCCGGACACCGATAGCAGTTGATTACGCCATTGTTCCTGTAAAATTCGTAATCATTCACCACACTGTTACCCCGGAATGTACCACGGAAAGATCATGTGCATCGGTTGTTAAGAGTATCCAAGATTTCCATATGGAAGAACTGGAGTTTCACGATGTGGGATACAAGTAAGGAAACATTTTAAATTATTTAAAACAAACATTCAAACTTTATTGAACACTTTTGATTAGAACTATTGTTTTCTTATTGGTAAGTTTATGTGACTTCAGACTTACAGTTTTCTAACACATTGTGTCGTGTAGGTTTTTATTATCTGCTTTGGTATGGTTTCCAATCACTACTTTATTTTCTAGTAATTACTTCCCAAAGAAAAAGGTTGAATTAAGACCACCGTAGCACCACAGACTTGTCACCCCCTATACTTCCCATGTTAAATTCTGGCTCAAATCTTAATGACTTCGGTACATCTTTCCCTATTGGTCTGGGGTATTTCTGACAAGTCTGGAGTCACCAATTAGCACGTTGGTTGCTGACACATGAGAAAAATGACATCAAAAAGTAAAAAATATTCAGGTTTTAGTCACTTACGCTCGTATGCACCGTACACGTTTAATCCAGATCAAGGGTTTAATCGCGTTTAATACCATTTATAGCTATGGTACTAAACGCGATTAAACCCTTGATCTGGATTAAACGTGTACGGTGCATACGGGCGTAAAAGACAAAAATTAGTGGTGTTATTATAAAATTTATGTTTTTTTAATTTTTAAAATAATGTTGACCTCAATGCATCCTTCCTATTGGTCTAAAGAATTTTTGATAAATCTGGAGTCACCAATCAGAACATTGGTTGCTGTCACATGAGAAAAATGACATCTAGAAAATTGATTAGTATTATTAAAAAATACAGATCTATAACAAAATTCGGTTATAAATAAATGTTCGAACCAAAAAGAGAAATGATCAAAGAGCTAGGTTATATTAGATTAGATACATTTACCCGCGTAAAATATTTTAAATTTTCAAAGTCACAGACTTTAAGATCGATTGACATTTGAGTGCGATCTCTTGTGTTAACTATACTCTTTGTAGCACATTCCAATATTCTACTAATTTTGATAGATGTCATTTATGTGTCATATATAAGAATCCCTTCGTTTAACAAATGGAAGCAATATTCCATATTTAATAGTTCTTTTATTCAACAGATGGCGTAATAATTCTATTTATTATTTATCCGGATGGATATCTAAGTGAAAACAAAAATGAGCACCCTGCGCCCCCCCTCCCTTAATTTTTGACCTTGCGAAAATTTTGCAGGTAAATAAAGGTACCATTTCGCAACATGCGACAGACGACAGCAGAAGCGACGACAAAGGAGACCAAAAACGGTCTCTTCACGTCTGAACACATGTAATTATATAAAACAGATTTCGCAAGACGTGACCAGTGCGAGAGACAGAAGTAGACGACATAGATCGGTCTCGGGGTAGTGTTTGCTGCCTGTCCCGCTCAGTCATCGCTTGTATTTCGAGGTCATTGGTCGATATGTTATAAAACTGGTAGTTGCAAAGTTCTTCCGATCTATTATGGGCAGTGTTGCCAGATGAAAATTTGCTGGTAAAGTATGGGTGAAAAAAAAAACGTAGATCTGAACACTGGATTTTTAATACGGGGGGAAATAATTATAATTTGTAGTGTAATAAATAAAAAAAAAACAAGTATATAAGAACCGAAAAATAAACATTTTTCTACCCAAATTAGAAAGTAAACAAAGAATAAAAACAAATAATAAAATTTTTACCTATATTTAACGTAAAAAAAAACAATGAAAAATAATAGGTATTTCTTTTAGATCAGTCTGAGTCAGATAATTCAAATACGTTGTGTTTGGCATGCATGTTCTTTTTACGATGCCCTATTAATTCTTTGTTGCATTTTAAATAAAAACATAATGATTATCTTGAGGTTTTTTTTATGGAGCTAACCTACAATAGTGGCTGCATATTACGCAGCTTTTACTTTAGCAAATTTACTAGAGAAAATATTCTTTGATCATTTGCTAAAGAATGAGGCACACTTAATAAATTAAAAACAAAATTTGTTAAGTTGGCGAAAACAGTAGATTTTATGCCTAAAACAGGAGAACAGAGACAAAAACAGTGGATCTACTTAAAAACAGTAGGTCTGGCAACGCTGATCGTTCCCTCGAATGGTTGTCTGCGGTTGTCGTGTGGCCCTGTCTCCTTGCTTTCCTAATGTGTGGAGCGTAACGTTAATGCATCTGACGTCCTTGCCGTCGCGTCTGTTGTCGTCTGTCGCGCCTTCCGAAATGGTACCTCTAAAATACCAGTTTTTTTTATTTACTACACTGCAAATTATAATTATTTCCCCCTGTATTAAAATCTATTGTTCAGATCTACTTTTTTTTTTCACCCATACTGTTTCAGTAAATGTTCATCTGGCAACACTGCCTAGATCGAAAGAAGACAACTACCATTTCTATAAAATATCGACTAATCACCTCGAAATACAAGTGATGACTAAGGGAGACAGAGAGCAAACGATACCTCAAGACCGACCTACGGGTCGTCGAGTTCTGTCTCTCGGTCGTGTCGCGCGTCGCACCTTGCGAAATGTGTTTCATATAATTGCGTGTGTTCAGACATGAAGAGACCGTTCTTGGTCGCCTTTTCCGTCTTCTTTGCTGTCGCGTCTGGTGTCGTCTGTCATCTGTCGCGCCTTTCGAAATGGTACCTTAATAGAAGTCGGCAAATATTGCCATACAAAATCTGATGTCGTCGCTCGTTTCTATCGTAATGTGTTTCATATAATTACATGTGTTTAGACGTGAAAAAACCGTTTAGTGTCTCTCTTGCTGTCTCGGCTCGTTTTGAGGTCGGTCTCTGCCTCGGATTGCGAAATGGTAGCTTTTTGGATCTAGGTTACGGACTTCCGGATATCGGTAGGTATATTCATTCTCTCAGTTCGTTCGTTGTGTCCAGTCAAAGGGCAAAGGTATTGGTAGGTATTTGCGTTTTTTTGTGATCAGTGATCATTGGAAATTGTTTTATTCCCAGTTTCGATTTAGTTTTCGACTTTTTGTGTAATAATAATGTAGTTCTTAAAGAACCAAATAAAAAAAGAATGTTTTTCAATGATTCATTTTTTAAATACTACAAATAATAAGATGAACAATCGTGAACAAAAACTTTTTCATTATTAAAGATGATTACCGAAAAGATTAGCTGTAGGATTTATATTAAGATAAATAAAATGTACCTATTTAAAATTAAAATAAATAACAATGGTCGTATTTGTTAAATTTTCATATTTTTCCAAAAATAAAAAAAATTGCTTCCATCGTGGGGATTGAATCAGCAGCAGCGCGATGTGGTCGAAACATGTAAAGTTAATAGAGTTGAACGTTCTATATGAACTGAGCTCAAGCTTACGTCACATGATATATCTAATCAAATATTTATATTAACAAAAAAAAGCTAAAAATACTGTAGTTACTTTAAAATTATTTTAATAATTTATTAAAAATAAATATCTAGAATCTAGATATAAAAATCAACGTTTACGATTAAGGGCCGATCTTTTCACCTCTGAGTCAAGTTACATGTAGGTTTACTTGATAGATTAACAAAAAATAACTCTATTCGCTCCGTGCGAAGTCATGGAAAGTGAAGCAAAAGCGATACCAGCACTAGCTGCGGATAATTCGTGCATTTTAGGGCGATATTTTGTAATTTTGGCATATCAAATACACGTATACAATTTACTTTTTTTCAAAAAAGTAGGTAAAAACAATACAATAAGCAACCGGAGTTGCTGTGTTGAAAATTGTACAAATACTAGAAAAAAAGTGAAACTTATATAAAAAATTTCAGTAGCAAAGTGGAAATTAAATCAAAGAAATAAATGGATAGGTGTACAATAAGAAGAAAAATTACCTTTATTTTTGTAATAATAATAGTAATGCTGGAAATAGTAGACATCAGAATCTTGAAAGGTTTTAAATAAACAATAAATTATCATTTTACGATAAATGTTCATTCAGCAAGAACTAGATTTCACGATTTCTGCCTTTGATTATTATATGTGGCTGGAATGCAATTTTGTGCCTTACTGATGGGAAACCAGTTTTAGTCAATCATTCCATGTTTTCTTTCGAACAAAAATGAAAATATAAATAACGATCCTTAAATGGTATTTTTTTTATTTTGACAGAATAGGATAATTCTTCAATAACATCTTATTAGACTTAGACAATTTCTCATACATTTTCCAGTAAATATTGTTGCCTGCCTATATTTTATTATTGATTATACATAATTTTCTTTAATTTAAGCGATAAAAATATATAATAATAAATTAATGTTTTACTTGTTTTACAAATTCATATACTTTTATTAAAACTAACATATATACTTTTTAATTACGAATTTTATTAAAAATTCCATTTGTCAGTATACGCAGAAATAGTCCATTAGTACCAAAACGAATTGGCGCTGCTGTCGCGCACAGAGCGAATAGTTTAATTAGCAAGTAGTTACTTTCAACTTTACTCAGAGGCGAAAAGACTGGCCCTTAATCATCAAATCTATTTTACTAATAATGTTGACATTACACAGATCAAAATAAAAATTTGACATATTTGACAGCTGATGCGGAAAGAAGACAATCCATCTTGTTTCTTAAAGATAAAAAGCATGTATCAAATTTAATTAAGCTCATTTGTGTAATGTATTTTTTAAGAATAATTGTTTTTTATCATGTGAAGTTTTACCTTTTAAACTAGTACTAGTACCAATGTTTTTTTAAAAAATATTCAGTTCGGTCGCTTCCTTAATTCTTTATCTGCCTTATGTTTCTTTTTTTTTTTGAAAAGTAATTTGAAAAATATGTTTATTTTAACGACTTCTATACACAATTAATGAAAGTATCAACTTAGTATTCACTCTGTATAAAATAGTGGGCATCTCACCCGGTTTTACCCTATATGAGCAGGGCCTGGTACCCCCTTAGCAAATGGATATGACCATAGATTACTAATGTGAATAGATGGGAAACTCAATGGTAATATTCTGAGTCGATGTGCTGCCATCTATTAAATTGGAGTGGTACTACAATTCAATATGGCCGCTTAGCGCGAGCTTTT